GAGCAAAAAATAAAAAACAATTAAATACCCACTAGAACTCCCAACAGACTAGAATCCATGGATCGCCGGTGCCTTTCTCGTATCAGACTCCATTGAGAAAAGATCATTCCCCCAATTTCGCAATGAGATGTCCCCTAAATTGGCGATCCATCAAAGCCCGACAAATAAAATTCGCGACCCAGACAAATAAATCATCCTCAAAGTGAAACTCACCTCCACTCAGCTACCAGACACTTTACGTAATTAAAAGCTACGCCTTTATTATTTATTATTATTTATTTCTTTAGAAAAACACCAAAGCTGGTACGATCTCATACAATTCGAATGAACCTGAAGTATTCATTACATAGAATAATCCATATAAACATGGAAGCAAAAAATGTACATGTGGCTGTAATTAAAAAAATAAAAACAACAAACTAGGAACTTACGAATTTCATTGTATCCATGAAAGTGGTAGTGGGGAAAATAATTGCGTTTCCTTCCGAATTCACCATAATGATGATAATCCTGGAGGGTATCGCGATAGCTGAAACCGTGGTGCTGATCATTATCGTCGGGCTCTGTAGACCAGGGTGTTGTGCTCCGACGTTTCAACTTCTGACTGGAAGTCATCTCTCCAGCCTAATTATCCCTTCCTCATCATGGCACTCACATCACCACTATCCAATACCCATCGAAGTCAGCACTCCAATTAAAATGCCATCAGAGCGATACGATGATCCAGCGAGGAGATCTCCAGATCTGAGCAAATATCAACTTGATTTGGCTTGAGGTGTTGATGAGGCACTACTGTCAGCACTCAAAGCGCAAGTGGTGGAAAAATTTCTTCTTATTTTTTCATTCCTTCGAGTGCCGCGTGCACTAGTGGAGGAAAGTAATTGGCCAAAACCTACTAATCACGCGGCCTGTAACAATCGGCGTGGACGCTATGGCAACGAGTTATGGACCATGGAGATTGTACGTGTATAACACCCAAGAAATATCTAAGAAAAATATATAAGGTCTGAGTGAAGGTTCAAAAATGCCGCGGGATCAATGATGATGTCCTTCCCATCCTGAAACTGACGTTCGATCCATTAAGTTCTAGTTTTTTTTTTTAGATGAGAAACCTGTTCATTAATATGGGGACACGATTTTTACTTGAATTTTAACTTTTTTAATATCAGGATGAGGGAATTTTTAATCTCAATTCCCTAATGAGGTCAAAATCGTGCGGATTAACGGGGGCACCGTGTGTGCAATTTCACCGGGAAGAAATTTCTCCGGACCGCGTGGCATCGAGGACAGCTATAAATTTACTTGATATGTTTATTTATGTGCATCTGGTGTTTGTCGGTTATCTCACTGCTTACGGGGTTTTTCATGGGGCACTGGACGAGGTCAGATCCTCCATTGAGGCTTTATTGTTCAGGACTGGTGATTGTGCTATCGCGATTTGCTATCGGATATTTTTTTTTCGAAGCTCTTGCGAAATATCACCATCGCGGATTCAGAGGAGAGTAGATGGGGCTGTGACGGTTTCAGGTGCACCGTCAGTGGGAAATTCTCAGATCGGTTTAATTATTTTTAGAGTTCATGACGATTAAAAAATTTCTCCGTAATTTTGGACTAGGAGAGGGTAGATCGAATGGAAAACAATCGAACATTCAGGCCGACTGAATTTTATAGGAAATATATTACTGCAGTAAATTGTATAAAAAATCAAATTCAATCGATTCTTTTTTTACACAATATTGTTTAAAAGATTTAAACCTATTCAATAAAATCGGGCAAAAATTAATACAATATTCACTAAAAATGGAAAATTACTGTAAATGAAAAATATATATTTCGTCAATTATATATTTGTTATATCGAATCGGCCCAGCATATCGTTATATACATAAGTTACATGAATTGAAATTGATATATAATTCATATATCTTCTCTACGAATTTTTCCATGTATTTAAAATTTCCATTTCATTGATCGCTTTCAGAAATTATGAATAATCCGATAAAACTTCCGTTATGTTCCGGAGTGATTGTGATATGCAAAATGAGAAAAATTATTAAAAAATTATCTCTTCAAAAGTCGTAATGAATAATAATCGAAAAATCATGAATTTCGGTCTAATTTCTCCATGAGACCAATATATATTCCCAGAGCTGATCTGCAATGCTCGATTTAATTATAAAAGCAGCAGCACCCCTCAATTTACCCATTCACATTAATCACATCGATATCTTTAGAAAGAGGTTTTCACCGACGAATACGTTCACAACACCAAACAGCATTCATTTTATAATAATCACCATTATTAAAGAAATTTGAAAGTAAAGACTGGTTTTTTAATTGACGACCAAGTGACAAATGTGATGTTGGAAAATTCCTGCACGTCCGGTAGTCGTTTTACACTTCGAAACACTGCGTTATTCAAGAGATCTTGAGCATTGATTGAGCCGATTTTTCTTGGTGTACGAGTGAGTCCATTAAATATTTATAAAAAAAAATAGCACGACTTTTTGTGATCGATTGGACGTGTCGAGAGGCTGGAAAGTTGAAAAGGAATGAGCTCTAGTGTTTAGAGAAAGTGCTCTTTCATCTATTATCCATTGGAGCATTGAGTCAGTGCTCGAGTTATGCAAATTACCCAACTATTTTTATCCGTTTTTGTAATAAAAAGGAGGGGGATTTATCCGGGGGAAGGAAGTACAAATCATCCATTTGTTTCTGTTTTTTGTTTTTCACTTTTATTTTCTTTATTGATTGTACTCTTCTGCATTTGCCAAGTTCCAGAGGTAATGGCTGTAATCCCAGATTGTGTCCTCAGCGTCCCTGAACAAATGCTCCAGGTTGGATTGTGAATCGCAGGAGGTGCCTCTGATGAGGCTGTCCAATCTTCTCGACATGACCCTGAAGTTCACATCGTTGAAGTTTTGCACATCCAAGGCTATCTTTTGATATCTGTTCGTGGCTATCCAGAG